AACCTGGTTACACAATTCTTCAGAACTCTGATCCCACCATGATTCACATGGAGCCTAGCTGTCCCCAGCACTGGTGTCAGTGTCCCATGGATTCAAATCTGTTTTTCCCACTTGTGAAAGCAGGTAATTAGGAAGGCTAACAGAAAGTTGGCCCTTATTTCAAGGGTGTAGAAATATAAGAGTGGGTAAGTCTTCCAGCAACTGTACAAGGTGCTGGTGAGACCACATCTGGGGTACTGTGAGCAGTTTTGATCTTGTTATTTAAGGAAATATAATATTTAATTAGAGGCAACTCAGAGAAGGTTCACTAATATGATCTCTGGTATCGAGGGGTAATCTTATAAGCAAAGGTTGAACAGGTTGGGACTCTAATCACTGGAGTTTAGAAGGACAAGAAGCATCTTAGTAAAACATATAGGATTCTTAAGGGACTTGAGGTAAATGCTGAGGGAATGATTCCTCACAATGGAGAGTCTAGGACCAGAGGGCATAGTCTCAGGATGCAGGCAGACCAATTTAAGACTGAGATGAGGAGGAATTTCAACTGTCAGAGAGTTGTGAGTCTTTGGAACTCATTGCTACAGAATTGTAGGGGCAGAGTCCTTGTGTATATTTAAGATTGAGATAAATAGATTCTTGATCAGTAGGGGTATCAAGAGTTGTGGGGAAAGGGCAGGAAAATGAATGTGAAGAATGTTAGCTCAGCCATGATGATACTGAATTGCAGAGCACACCTGAGGAACCAAGCAACCTATTTCTGTTCCCATTTTATATGGTCTTATGGTCTAAATACCTAGGACTTGTTTATCTGGGAACATAGCCTTTAAAGAAATTCAGTGGATTAAGAATAAAAGCTCACTGCCTGAAGCCGTTTTGGCATGTTCTCAAAAGGTACAGCTTCTCAAACAATTTATGTGTAAAACAAATTAAATGATTTGCATGTGTTTATTTCCGGCATTGCAAGAAAATATCACACCTATCAATCTAGCCTAGCTGCCACATGTAAAGTACACTTTGTACTTAATTTATAGGCCTGCCAGATCTCAATTTGTGCTGAAGCCTCTTTCCTAACCCTTGTTCTTTGGTCCTGGACTGAACTTCAATGTCGGTTTGCAGTCTTGGCCCCTTGTACGCCAGAGGCTGGCTTGTGGCATCAGTGGATCCCTCTCCCTAATTATGACTTGAAATGTGACTTCTGGCGGACCTGTTCCCCAAATTACACATCAACATAAATCTGGCATCAACATAAATCCGGCATAAATCTTCCCCAGTGTGAAGTGCACCAAAGAAGAGGTAGAAGTAGAGGAGAAAAACAACCTTAATAACTTAAATTAATGTAATGAGGTCTTCCCAGGCCCTCCATAGGATCACTATAAGATGAAATATGACATAGGGATGCTTATAAGGGAAGGTCAGTTCTGAAGAAGTGTCACTAGACTCGAAACGTTAACTCTGTTTTATCTTCACCACCTGCTGCCAGACTTGCTGAGTTTCTCCATCAATTTCTGTTTTTGTTTGTACCATTCATGACTCCTCAGATATTGAAATAACCCTGGACCAAATGCATCAAGATCTAGACAACATCCAGTCTTAGATGATAAGTGATGAGGAATATACTTGCCATATATATGCTAGGCAATGACTTTTTTCAACAAGAGAGAATCTAGCCATATCCCTTTGAGGTTCACTGGCATTTATGTTCCTGAATATCCCCACCATCAACATCCTGGGGGAGCTATAATTGAAGAAACTGCACTGAATTAGCTATATTAAAACTTTGGTTACATAGCAGGAGAGAGGCTGGGGATTTTGCAGCGACGAACTTGCCTTCTTATCTCCCAATGCCTGTCCATCATCTACAAGGACAAGTTCAACTATGTGAAAACTCTCCACTTGTCTGAATGCATGCAGCTCCAAAAACTCTCAAATTCAAGACCATCTAGGACAAAGCATGATTGGCATCCCATCACCACCTTCAATATTCACTCCCTTCACCATCGACACATGGTTACTACAATGTGTACTATCGACAGGATGCAATGCAAAGTAACTTAATAAGCCTCCTATAGCAGCAAATCTGCACCCAAAACCACCAACATTGACAACAGATTTTTATAGATGCATTTAAATGGATGCTCCATAGAAAGTATCCTATTCGGATGCATCACAGCTTGGTGTGGCAACTGGTCTGTCCAAGACTGGAAGAAATTATAGAGTTGTGAACACAGCCTAGTCCATCATAATAACCAGCCTTCCATTCACTCTGTCTACACTTTCCACTGCCTCAGGGAAGCAGCCAATATAATAAATATTATATCCTCCCACACCAGTTATATTCTCCTCCATCCTCTTCCATTAAGCAGAAGGCAGAAAGTTTGAAAACATGTACCAACAGATTCAAGAACAGCTTCCTTCCCACTGTTATCAGACTTAAGAATGGACCTCTCATACATCAACATTGATCTTTCTCTGAACCTTCTCTGTAACTGTAACATTACATTCTCCATTCTGTTCTATTACCCTGATGTACTTGTGTAAGGTATGATTTGTCTGGTTAACATGGAAAACAATACATTTCACTATATGTCAGTACATTTAACAATAATAAATCAATCAAATCTCCATCTGCAAGTCACATACTATCATATATTGGAACTATATTGCTTGCCCTCTCCATCCTTGAACTCCCTCCATAACTGCACAATGGTGTCCCTACGCACCAGTTAAGTAGACAGCTCACCACTCCTTTCTCCAGGCAATTAGGAATAGGCAATAAATGCTGCCATAACCATCAACAATGACATCCTGTGAATGTATTTTTTCAAAATACTGAGACTAAAGATGAATTTAGACCCACATTGAAAATTTCAAAGCCGAGGTTTTGAAAATGTAGGTGATGGGTGACTGGAACTTGATACAGAATAGCATATGGATACCAGTGTTTTGGATAAGCCAAAGTTCAGAGTGGTTGGAGGTTAGGAGAGGTTTCTAATAATTTAATCTGGAGATGGTGGCATGAATGAATATTTCAGTGGCAAATGGAATGAAGTGCTTTTGGTGTTGCACCAGCTTGTGTCTAATGAAGACAGTTTCTCAGTACTCAAGTACTTCTTTGTAGGAGTCAATAAAATGTGGAGCTGGAGGAGCACAGCAGGTCAGACAGCATCTGAGGAGCAGGAAAGTGGACATTTTGGGTTGGGACCCTTCATTAGGACTGGGAAGGGGGAAGGGAACTCAGAAATAGAGGGAGGGGGTGGGGCTGGGGAAAGGTAGGTGGGATAGCGATAGGTGGATGCAGGTAGGGGGTTGTAGATATTGGTCAAAGGGAAGAGTGGGACAGATAGGTGAGAAGGGAGATGGACAGGATGTGTCAAATTAAGGAGGCGGGGATGAGAGGGAGGGCTGGACATGGGATGAGGCTGGGGTTGGGGAGGTTTTGAAGCTGGTGAACTCTATGCTGAGGCCATTGCGCTATAAACTCCTGAGGCAGAATATAAGATTTTGTTCCTCCAGTTTACGTGTGGCCTTGTGACAGTGGAGGAGGCCCAGTTTGGACATGTTGCCAGGGGATTGAGAAGGGGAGTTGAAATGGCTAGGAACTGGAAGGTGGTGTTGAATGGAACGTACAGAGTGCAGACGCTCCACGAATTGGTCACTGAGTCTGCACTTTGTCTCTCCCATATGGAGGAGACCATATCGGGAGCAATGGATGCAATAGACCAGGTTAGAAGACATTTAGGTAAATCTCCGTCGGATTTGGAATGATTGTTTGGGGCCTTGGATGGAGGAGAGAGGGGAGGTGTAGGGGCAGGTGTAGCACTTCCTGCGGTTGCAAGGAAAGGTGCCGGGTGTGGTGGAAGTGTTGGGGGTGTGTGGAGTGGACAAGGGAGCTGCGGAATGAGCAGGCCCTACAGAAAGCAGATAGGGATGGGGAAGGGAATAATGTTTTGGTGGTAGGATCTGATTGCAGGTGGCGAAAGGCAGAGGATGGTGCGTTGGATTTGGAAATTGGCAGGCTAGTATTGTTGTTTAGTGGAGTGGGGTTTGAGGGCAGAAGTTTGGGAAATGCAGAAGATGCGGTTGAGGGGAAATTACGGTCCTTGAAGTAGGAGGATATCTGGGATGTCCGGGAGTGGAACACTTCATCCTGGGAGCAGATGCAGCAGAGGCAGAGGAATTGGGAGAATGAGATTGCATTTTTCCAGAGGGTGGATGAGAGGAGGTGTAGTTGAAGTAGCTGTGGGAGTCAGTGGGTTTGAAATGGATGCCCGTCCTAAGTCGGTTACTGGAGGTGGAGACAGAGAGGTCCAGGAAGGGGAGGGAGGTGTTGGACATGGTCCAGGTGAACTTGAGGTCTGGGTGAAAGATGTTGGTGAAGTGGAGGAACTGTTCGAGCTCCTCATTTGAGCACGAGGCAGCACCGATACAGTTATCAATGTAGCGGAGGAAGAGGTGAGGGATGGTGCCAGTGTGACTGCGGGAGATGGACTGTTCCACGTATCTTGCGAAGAGGCAGGCATGGCTCAGACCCATGTGGGTGCACATAGCCACCCCTTTAGTTTGTAGAAAGTGGGAGGAGTTAAAGGAAAATTTGTTGAGGGTGAAGACAAGTTCCGCCAACCAAATGAGAGTATCAGTGGAGGGGGACTGGTTGGGCCCACAGGAAAGAAAGAAATGGAGGGCTTTTAGGCTGCCCTCGTGAGGGATACAGGTGTAGAGAGACTGAATGTCCATGGTGAAGATGAGGGGTTTGGGGCCGGGGAATTGAAAGTCTTGGAGAAGGTGGAGGGCGTGGGTAGTCTTCATGAAGGGTCCCGACTGGAAACGTTGACTTTCCTGCTCCTCAGATGCTGTCTGACCTGCTGTGCTCCTTCAGCTCCACATTTTATCAACTCTGACTTCTAGCATCTGCAGTCCTTGCTATCTCCACATCTTTGAAGGAGTTGCTTAGAGTGTGTACTTTTTATCAAATAATACACTTGCAGTTTTTTTTTGTGTAGATGGATCCAGATCTCAAGGCACTTTTTACACAGCCAGAGAAGGTTTGTGAAAGATATTTAAAAGAATTTGTACAGGTAATGAATTTCTAAAATGATGATGGAAGTATGGAATTTTGTTGCATTTTAATTAATATGAATGACCAATCATTGTTATGATTCTAATTGTACTATCTTAGATTATGGATTTCCAGGAGAAACACAGAAGACATTTATGTGCAAATGAGATAGAAGAGGTAACTGTTAGTCTTTGTTGAGTTCTTTCTAATTGTTACTGCCGATAATATGCAGTGGAAAATTAGTGTTGGTTACGTCTAAATAATAATGATGATCATAGAGCATTTCTGTGTGGACTATTGCAATTTCTAATAACATTAGAATGAATAACAGACAGTATTCTGTGGAGGAAATGGTGATCTCAGCTTTCGGTGGAAAAACTGGTAAAAGCCCATTTTTATCTGTTCTTGGGAAGAACCAAAGCATCTTTTTTTCCATTTCGGCACCTGACTGGCAATCAATGGGGATCAAGGACCTTAATGGAAGAAGTCCTGCTTGCTGTATTGGTCAGTAGATCCAGTTTTTTTAAATTTTTTGTTCCTGAGATGTGGTTTTTGCTGGCTTATGCCAGCATCCCTAATTGCCTTTGAGAAGGAGATGGCGAACTGTCTTCTTGAACAAATGAAGCCCTTGGGGATAATAGGTATATCTGCTAGTGAAAGTGGAGGAATGGCAATATAGTTCCATGTCAGGATGATTTGAATGACAATGCCACTAGGGACACAATGGCTGCAGTTTTATCATACTTAATGGAGGCCTAAGATTGTTGCTGGATTCTAAGCCGGGGTGAGAGTGATGGCTGGAGGGGAGTCATGGAGTCTCGGTTTCCAGGATAGAGTGTAATGGAATTTGGAGCAATGGCAGAGAGTGACTCTCACTGGGCCCTTATCTTCCCCCAAAGCTTTGTTCCTCCATCAGCGTAGAGTGCCTTTGAAAAAAAGGAGCCTAGAAGCAATCCCATATGGGTTGTTGCGAGGTTAATGACAATGCTAGTGGAATTAAACCCTTAAGAAAGTTTGAATTGTCCATTGACAATCCCTAGTTGATGGCTAGGTAGTAAGGACTTCCATCAGGATGGAGTTAAGAATATGTTTGTGTCTTTTTCTGCCGCTGTCCTGCTTTATTAAATGACTTCCCAGCACCAAATTTGCCAAGGGAGAGAGCATAAAGTTCTATCCAATGTATTTCGAGGAAATATTGAAATACTATTAGCATTATTATTATTCAGTTGAGGAGCAAATCACTTAAAACCATTTTTGATGTGCAGGACAATTAGTTTGGATGCCTCATGGTGGACTTCAGAAGCAACTGTTCCAATTGAAAATTGGTTATGGCGGGAGGCTCATAGATAGATGCAAAAATGCTATGTCCTCCAGGCATCCATGAGGAGGTCAAACATCCCTGCTAACTCTTGGAAGTCCCCAATGATTCAGATTGCATGAGACTACAATCATGATCAGTGCTGAAGGACTGCAGGTTTTTGGCTTTGTAATAATCTGTGTCACAAAATCAATGAGAAAGCACTGGTATTTGCCATGTGGGATCTGCGGAAAATCTGAGATTTTCATCATTCATGACAGATGATTCAAAATCTTAGGATCATGTTTTTTTGGTATGTAAAGTGTAATGAAAAACAAGTGTGAATGAATAATTGACCAGTGGAGTGTAAAACGGTGCAATTTTTCCTGCCCATGAGGTACTTCTGAACATAATAAACAGGTCAAATCTGACCCTGCCAATTACTGCCCATCAATGAACTCTCAAACATCAGGAAAGTCATGGAAGGTGCCATTGACAGTGATACCAAGCAGCACTTGATTAGCAATAATCTGATCATTGATGCTCAGTTTAGGTTGTGCTTGACCCTCTCAGCTCCTGACCTCATTATAGCCTTGGTCCAAACATTGAAAAAAAATCTGAAATCCAGAAGTAAGGTGAGAGTGACTGTCCTCGACATAAAGGCTGCATATGACTAGGTGTGGCATCAAGGAGCTTTAGCAAAACTGAAGTCAGCGGGAATCAGGGAAAACTCTCTGCTGGTCGGAGTCATAACTGGCACAAAAAAAGATGGTTGTGGTGGTTGCAGATCAATCATCTCAGCTCCATGATATCTTTACAGGAGTTCCTCAGGTTAGTTGTCTTAGACTTCAGCTGCTTCATCAATGACCTTTCCTCCATCGTAAAGTCAGGATGGGATATTCTCTGATGACTGTACAGTATTTAGCACCATTCGTGATTCTTCAGAAACTGAAGCAATTCCTGTCCATTTTCAACAAGATCTTGAGCTGAAAAGTGCAAATAACATTCATGCCATACAAGTATTGAAATGATCATTTCCAACAAGAGGGAATTTAACCATCATCTCTTGACATTCAATGGTAACACCATCACTGAATCCCCCACTGATAACATCCTGGGGTTACATGGGGCTAGAAACTCAACTGGGTCAGTCATATTAGTACTGTGGCTACAAATGCAGCCAACATGTTTGGAATCCTTGAACCTCCTCTCTCCCCAAAGCCTGTTCACCATGTACAAGACACAAATCAGGAGTGTGATGGAATACTCTCCACTTACCCTGATCAGTGTAACTCCAACAACATTCAAGAAGCTTGATGCCACTCGGGACAAAGCAGCCCGGTTGATTGGCTTTGTATCCACAAGCATCCACTCCTCTCTCACCACTGATGCCCAGTAGCAGCAAAGTGCATCACTCACAAGATGCACTGCAGAAACACAGGCTCCTTAGACAGCACCTTCCAAACACACAACCACATCTGGAAGGACAAAGGCAGCAGATTTATGGGAATACCACCACCTGAAAGTCATACTTCATCCAGCATTGGAAAAAAAAATCACTGCTCCTTTAATGTCGCTTGTTCAAAATCTTGGAATTTCCTCCATAACTGCATTGAGGTGTACCAACACCAAATGGATTGCAGTGGTTCAAGAAGGTAGCTCGTTGTCATTTTCTCAAGGGCAGCTACGGATGGGCAATAAATGTTGACCAGCCACTGTCGCCCTGTGAATGAATAATTTTTTAAAAAAGTTAAGACATTTGATTTGTTAGGTGAGACTGAATGCCTCCGTCTACTCCTACACTCACATCTCTGGATTATGATTTTAGAAAGGAAACAGCAGTGCAAAAATATGTCAGATATTGGTGGCATGGAGAGGCATCAGGCTGTCTTGATTTTTACTGATTAAATTTGAGCCAGTCAATCACAGAAGGGTCATGGTGCAGAAGAAGACCATTCAGCTCATGATGCCTGCACCAAATGAACACCATGACTTAATGCCATTTCTCTCTTTTTCACACACCCTTGCATATTCTTTCTATTTAACAATCGTCTAATGCCTTGCCAAATGCCTCAATTGAACCTGCCTCCACTGCATTTTGAGGCAGTGTGTTCCAAACTCAAATCACTCACGTGAAAAAGCTTTTATCACTTCTTTTAAAAATTACATTTAATCTGTGCCTTCTCGTTCTTGGTCCTTCTGTGAGTGGGAGCAGTTTCTCCCTATCTAATTAAACCTACCCCTCTTGGTTTTGAAAACTTCAATCAGATCTCATCTCAGCCTTCTTCGCTCTGAGGAGAACAGACCTAATCTGTCATGAAAAAAAGAACTGTGAATATTGAGATCTGAAAAAAAACAAAAGCAGAAATTGCTGGGGAACCTCAACAGTTCTGGCAGCATCTGTGGAGAGAAAACAGAGTTAACGTTTCAAATCCTAAAGTTCTGAAAAAGGATCACAGGACTTGACATATTACCTGCTTTCTGTTCACAGATGCTGCCATACCTGCTGAGTTTCTCCAGAAATTTTTGGGTTTTGTTCTTCCCAATCTATCCTCATAACTTAATTTTCTTGTCCCTGGAGCCATTCTTATAGAACATAGAACAGTACAGCACAGTACAGGCCCTTCAGCCCACAATGTTGTGCTGACCTATTATCCTACTCTAAGATCAAACTAACCTGCATACCCTACATTTTACTATCATACATGTGTCTATCCAAGAGTCCCTTAAATGTGCCTAATGTATCTGACTCAACTACCACCGCTGGCAGCGTATTCCACACACGCACCACTCTCTGTGTAAAGAATGTACCTCTGACATCTCCCCTGTACCTTTCTCCAATTACCTTAAAATTATGCCCCCTCGTAATAGTCATTTCTGCCCTGGGAAAAAGTCTCTAGCTATCCATTCTATTTATGCCTGTCATCATCTTGTACACCTCTATCAAGTCATCTCTCATCCTTCTTCGATCCAATGAGAAAAACGCTAGCTCCCTCAACCTTTCCTCATAAGAGTTGCCCTCCAGTCCAGGTAGCATCCTGGTAAATCTCCTCTGCACCCTTTCTAAAGCTTCCACGTCCTTCCTATATTGAGGCGACCAGAACTGCACACAATATTCCAAGTGTGGTCTAACCAGGGTTTTATAGAGCTGCAGCATAACCTCGCGGCTGTTAAACTCAATTCCCCTGCCAATGAAAGCCAACACACCATACGACTTAACAACCCTATCAACCTGAGTGGCAACTTTGAGGGATCTATGAATGTGGACCTCCAAGCTCCCTCTGTTCCTTCACACTGCCAAGAATCCTTTCATTAACCCTGTATTCTGCATTCAAATTCGACCGTCCAAAATGAATCACTTCACACTTATTGAGTTGAATTCCATCTGCCACTTCTTTGCCCAGCTCTGCATCCTGTCAATGTCCCATTGCAACCTTCAACAGCCCCCCACAATGTCCACAACTCCATCAACCTTCGTGTCAAGAGCAAACTTACTAACCCACCCTTCCACTTCCTCATCCAAGTCATTTATAATGATCATAAAGAGCAGAGGTCCCAGAACAGATCCCTGCGGAACACCTCTTCTATGCTCTCTCAAGAGCATTGCAATAGTATGACATGCAGAACTGTACACAGGACTCCAAGTACAGTTTGACAAGTATCTGATTCATATTCAGCATAACCCCCTTGCTCTTGTGCTGTATTAATGAAGCTCAGAATATTTGTACTTTATTAACTGCTTCTCCACCTCCAGTAATAGTGACCCTTCAGCCTGTTGTTCAGTGCTGGTCATTAAACACCTGTCTACTCTAATCCTATTTTCCAGCTCTTGGCCTGTTATAGGATTGCCAGAGTGTGGAAACAGGCCATTCAGCCCAACAAGTCCACACCGACCCTTCGAAGAGTATCCCCCCCACACCAGGCCCCCAACCCTATCACTGCATTTCCTGTGGCTAATGCACCTAACCTACATAACCCTGAACACTGTGGGCAATTTAGCATGGCTAATCCACCTAACTTGCACATCTTTGGACTGTGGGATGAAACAGGAGCACCCAGCAGAAACCCACACCGATACAGGGAGAACATGCAAACTCACACAGACAGTCACCTGAGGTTGGATTTGAACCCAGGTCCCTGGCACTGTGAGGCAGCAGTGCTAACCACTGTGCCACTTGCATATCTTGTAGTCATTTACTCAACCTGTTCAGTCATGTTATGGTACACTTCTGGAGCAGCTGAGACTCAGGCCTTCTAGGACACTACCACTAGGTTGGAATACTACCACTGCAGCACAAGAGGCCTCACCTATAACCTTGTATGTTATGATATTTCAGGTGTTCATCTAAGTACTTCTTAAACGTTGTGATTGTTCCTGCCTTTATCGCCCTTTCAGGCAGTGAGTTCCAGATACCCACCACCCTCAGGCCGAAATGTTTCTTTTCCTTAAAATCCCCTCTAAAGCTCCGTCACCTAAAATCTGTGATTCATTATTATTGATTCCTCTACTATTATTTCTTTCTATCCACCAAATCTATGCCCCTCATAATTTTGTAGATCTCAATCAGGACCTCTCTCAGCCTTCCCTGCTCAAAGGAAAACAACCCTATCATTCTAGGCTCTCTTCATTGCTGAAACACTCCAGAGCCCAGCAACATCCTGGTGAATTTTCTTTGTATCTTCTCTGGTGCCCTCACATCCTTCCTGCAGTGTGACGATTAGAACTGAATGCAGTAACTGTGTGCTAATTAAGTAAATAAGCTGTAGCTTAACTAAGATATTATGCAGCTCCATCATAATCTCCTTGCTGTTGTATTCAGTCCCTTGACTAATAAAGGCAAATATTCCTTATTCCTTCTTCACCAGTTTATCTACCTTTCCTGCTGCCTTAAAAGATCTATTGACATACATATCAAGGCCCCTCAGATCCTCTGTACTTCCCTGGGTTCCACCATTCAATGTATACCTCTTGCCTTATTAATCCTCCCAAAATGCATCGCCTTCACTTTTCAGGGTTAAATTCTATTTAAAATCTCACCTGTCTTTCAAATGTTTCTTGCCACTGATGTTAGACTCACTGATCTGTAGTACTCTGGTTTATCCCTACCACCTTTCTTGAATATTTATGCCAAAGCATAACAGGCCAGCTTAGCTGTCCTCTGGTCCTTTCTGTCACCTGTCCTGCCATCTTGAATGAACTGTACACATATATAGCCAGGTCTCTGTTCCTGCACCCCCGTTAGAATTTTACCCTTATTTTGTATAGCTGGTACATGTTCTTCCTACCAAAATGCATTATCTCATACTTTTCTGCCTTGTACTTCATCTGCCATAGATTTGCCCACTCCACCAATATGTCACTGTCCTTTTGGAGTTGTACACTTCCTTCCTCGCATGTTACCATGCTTCCAAGCATTGTATCATCTACAAATTTTGAAATTGTCCCCTGCACACCAAGGTCTGAATCATTGGAATATAACAGAAAAAAAGTGTTCTGAGTATGATCCCTGAGAAACACCATTACAAACCTTTATCTAGCCCAACAAATATCATTGACCATTACTCTACTTCCTATTACTCTGGATTTTGCATCCACTTAGCTATTGTCCATTTTATTATATGACCTATAGAGTTTCTCACAAGTCTTTTGTTATGGTATTGTGTCAAATGCCTTTTAAAAGTCCGTGTAGACCACATCAATCCATTACCCTCATCGAGCCTTTATGTTACATCCTCAAGAAAGCTCCCAAGTTAGTTAACATAATTTCCCCTTTGGAAATGCATGTTGGTTCTTCCTAATCAACTCACCTTTTTCCATTTGACTGCTACTTTTATCCCAAATTATAGTTTCTAAAAGCTTCCTCACCTGTGAAGTTAAACTGACTGGTCTTAATTGCTGGGCTCATTCTTACAACCTGTTTTGAACACTGGCATGATGTGTGCAGTTCTGTAATATTCTGATACTTCCTCATGTCCACAGAAGACTGAAAGATTATGGACAGTGCCCGTGAAATTTCCGTTTTCACTTCTTTCAATGTCTTTGGCTGCATCTCAAACCAGTCCTGGAGCCTTGTCAGCTTTAAGTACCAACAGTCTATCCGACACTTCCTCCTTATCAATTTTGAGCTCTTCTAGTGAAAGCGATTTCTCCTTTGTTTCAGTCTCCGTCACACTCAGGCAAAGTCTCCCTCACGTTGACTGAATGGTAAAGGCATTGCCGTGAACTGCAGGAGGGATTGCCTTTCTCCACAGCCCTTTCCTCATTTAAGAAGGGACAATGTGTGGACATATTCCTTTCGCCTACAGATAACAGAGTCCTTGTGTGGATAAATGTAGCCTCGGGCATGCAAGCCTCACCAACAACTGTAAATTAGTTTCTGGTGTAATTGTTTTTGCATTCTGGATTATTCTGTAAATGTCCAATAGAAGAATCATGTCTAAAGCTGGACACTATGTTTTGAGTTTTGCATGCATAGGCTTGTTGAGTACAGTATGCCGCTCATTGTGCATACTTAAAGGGAAGTGTTATTTGGTCTGGTCCGTCAGTTGTTTCAACATCTAGCCTACAAACCTGGCAACATGCTGAAACTACAACTTAAATATTGCATTGAGATACCAAGGTGTAGAGCTGGATGAACACAGCAAGCCAAGCAGAATCAGAGGGGCAGGAAGGCAGACGTTTCGGGCCTAGACCCTTCTTAAGAAATGGGGGAGGGGAAGGGGGTTCTGAAATAAATAGGGAGAGAGGGGGAGGCGGATAGAAGATGGATAGAGGAGAAGATAGGTGGAGAGGAGCCAGACAGGTCAAAGAGGCGGGGATGGAGCCAGTAAAGGTGAGTGTAGGTGGGGAGTTAGGGAGGAGATAGGTCAGTCCAGGGAGGACGGACAGGTCAAGGGGG